CGTCTCGAATCTTCATCATCCTTATTTTTTGTCTCTGTTATTGACGACAATTTTGCGGATGCTCGTTTATCACCCTGAAAATTAATCCTAAGTAAATATTTTGACGAAGAAATAATACGATGAACGTGATCTGTTACAAGAGTTGACGTAAGTGACATAAGTAATGCTAATGAATCGCTAAGAAATGAAAACTCACCTGTAGATACATTTGGTTGGGTCGCATATTTTGTTGCGCATTTTGATTCGCAACTTTAGCAGATGACTGAGTGGTGGTGTGAACAGCAGCAGTTTGACGACGATTGGAAGACTGCGGTTGACCGGTGAATTGACAGTTAGGCATTAGTGTCTTTGTGGTATCTCGTAGAACACGATAGATCACCGACCATGCTGACACACCACAATTGTGTCGAATTGGTAGACGAACACATCCCGAGAAGAAGTTTAGTGCCCTTCAAGTTGGCTATCTTCATTGTTAATTGAGGAGAATCTGATTTTTTTTCTTTTCAAAAGTTTCAAAAGTTCTGAAGTTTCTGCCTTGCGACAGTGTAGCGGAATATAAGAACAAAGTGTTAGTGATGGTGGTCATTTAATTGTCAATTTATAATATTGTCAATGAATATTGGCGTGAAATATCCGAGCAAAAGTTTTGAATTGAGATGTTTTAGTGTAACTCAAGTAATGTTCATTTATGTGTTAAGCATAGTGCTTTGGCAGTAAAATTTGAGTGACAAAAAGTTCGAAAATTCAAAGTGTATTATGAAGCAGCATGTGAAAAAAAAAAGACTCACTCGCACATTCTGGCCAATTTAAGAGGCATTGTGATACCGATTTCATGGTTTGCTCTTTCAATGTCAGATAGCGTTTCATCGTGACAATACTTTACCGATGGTTTTCGATCTAGTTCCATAAGGCATTCGGCACTTGACATAAATGCTTAATTGTCAATATGATTATTATCAGTACAACTCAATTGGAACGATCACAGGCGATAATCGCTCCTGTACAATTTGTTGCCATTGCATGCAAATTTTGTGATGGTCATGTTTTTTTTGCATCATCCTGATGCAAGTACTCAACATTAGATAATCATAACTGTTTCCGGTTTTCTGAAGCGTTTTCAGAATGGTCACTAAATGTTGTTGGATAGAAAAGGAAGATGGGCAGTTCGGCTGCATCCTCAGTGGAAGTGTGCGATTTGCTCAAAATGGTTGAATAGAGCTGCTTAAAAGCATTCAACAAGAGTTGTGGTTATATATTGCACGAATGAAGAACAAAAACTCGAGAAACTCACTGTCATAGCCCTCATTACAAAGGAATCCATAAGAAGCGTCAATCAGATTAATGGTGATATGTTTCGGACATATTCTACGATAATCGTAAACGCACAAGTCGAAGTGTCTTACCAACCTGAATATTTATCACCTCACTGACTGTGTACACTTACATGTCAACTTATTGCGACGGCTCGTTTCAGATTTCGCGAAATAAGTCGAACAGAGCTTTTATCAACCATCATTAGACATTTTCTGGTGCTTTATTGTAACAGACGTGATGAGGGACTATCGTAA